TGTCCGTATGGAGGGCCAAAGAGTTCGCCTGCCACAGATGCTAGGTACTTAATAAAATCCGCTCACGTTACAAATCTAACGTGATTATTGCCTCCTTGACACATCTGTTCAGTAAACCTTTTTCGCTAACGAAACTGATCAACTGTAAACACGATCCGACGGCGTATTTATACACAAAGCTAGAACCCGACCTTATGGGCTTGCTGGCATACTGTTAATTATCGACACCGCCTCTAAGATAGTTAATTCTTCTTAGTTTTCGATATCGGATTGAAACGGCGTTAAGTGTCGTCCCATAGCTTCTACTCACCTGGGGCATCATTTCAGCAGGCCACGACTCCATGGCACTTGAGCACCTACAGTGCACGGACAGGGCCGAACAATGGCCTGTTCAGACACCTGCAAAAATGCCATGATCCGGTGACTAGTGGTATGCTAATAAACTCATAGGATCGGTTTCAATTTCCTGTATTGTTAAAGTTTTACTATTTTAACATAAATGGCATAAATATCTTGTCAGCGAGAGTTTTCTACCTCAGAGTTGGTGATGGGGGGTACTCTTCTGCAACTCGTCGAGATCTGGATAATTTCAACTTCTCAATGAGCTCTGAGGTCGGTTCACTTTATAACCCTCAGTGCGACGCATCGTGATTCCGCCTAGTGCTTGGAATAGCGTTTGATCTTCGTTCAGAAAGTTTCCAGATGGTACAATGTTAGTTGGTTGTTGCTTGACCTTCTAGATACCTATTACATTCCGGACGTCTGCAGTAAAAGATGGCATCGTTGTGTCTTTCGTACACGATAACAAGTATACATGACATTGGCAGCCATTGCGTAGGGATCAGCCGCTCAAGCATGTTTCACAAGCATTGCGTGAGGTCGTATAAGAGGGCGCGGCTCACAAGGAGGTTAGAGGTCGGAGTATCGCTCGCTCACATTCCCAACAAGGTTCTCCGCCGTTCGGTGCCCAAGAAAATGAATGAATTGGTATGACTGGTACAGGAACAGCCTAGAACACTCGGCTGTCTTTCTATGCCAGGAATCGTGGCTGTGCCCATACGTAAACAGTGCTCGTGGTCATTTTTCACTACCTCACTTTCCGAGCTGACACCCAACCGTAAACCCCAGTTAGCCATTGCCATGATATGGATGCGAGAGGAGCGAGGTACATCTGTTCCTCGTACGGAATCGACTATTTCATTGTCCAATATCGCCACAAGACGATCACCTTTTTCAAATAGGTTATGATGGTTATGACGTGCAACCTGTACATTGCTCTGCTGCAGCCAAAAAGTTGGCAGACCTTGTGCGTGCGCGCATCGCTTGTTCCTTGGTGAATTGGGTCTAGTGGACCTTGCCCGATTTTTAAAACGGTGGGCGCTACGCCAGACCAGTTCCCTTCGAATCTGCCAGATATCTTTAAGGTCTGAAATGTGACCCCTGGATCCGCTGACTATTGCATGGACATAACAGTATCGTGTGTTTTTCAAAACAATCGGATGGCAGAACCCGGCAGTTCTCAATGCATGTTTATGCGCATGTGAGTC